TAGTGGCCAGGAGCATACTGTCTTAGGTTCTGCTGCCCTGTTCACCTAACCATCCTGGGACTGGAAGGGTTTGTCTCCTCTTGTATGTATGTCTCCTGCTATCCCAACTGTCAGTTGAGAGCCATTGCTGCAACAGCCGCCACTGTCAGCTGGGAGATTGTCTTTGAGTGGCACTTCCTTAGGCTGCTCAGGGCTCTACTGGTAGCAGGAGCTCCTTTGCATATTAGGCCACACACCCCTAGTGTAGCCAATCCTCCAAGAGCTTACAGTGGCCCCAGTAAGAAGATCTCTGTAAGCTCTTGGAGGATTGGCTACACTAGGGGGCGTGGCCTAATATGCAAAGGAGCTCCTGCTACCAGTAGAGCCCTATCCAAAGAGATGCCTTGATGTCTAAGCCGGGGTTTATTTATTTATTTATTGTGGCATATCCACTTTCTGGGCTTTCTGTCCTTGTTGTGTTCTTCCTCAAACCTGGTTTGATACAATCTTTCCAGAAACAATGTAGTTCAATTGTGTCAACAAACCATTTGAATAGGAAGCTATGAATTTTAGAAGGTCCTGCTCACATCCGTGCCATTTTTCTTTGGTCAGCACCTAATGGCAGCCATTTTTCCAGCTGCTCCACTGGAAGACTTTTTGAATGTGTTTTTTAAATCAGTCATTGCTATTTTGCTACAATGCAGTAACCTATGTAATGATCTATTGCCACAATCTACTTTCCTCTGAATTTTCAGCTTTCATTTTTTTTTTAAAAAAAGTATTTATCTAGCTCTTTTTGTTGTAAAAAAGAGAGAGAAAAGTGTGTGCCCCTTTTCTTATGAAACCTGGGAATTCAGAGGAACTAGTAAATTGTGGCAATAGATCATCATAACATTATTGGGCTCTATCGCCATAGCAATTAAGCAATTTTTTAAAAGAGACCTTAAAAAAAGGTCTCCAGTGGCACAGTAGGGAAGAAATTGCAAGGGAAATGGCAGCTGATGAAAGTGTGAACAAAACTCCCATGTGGACACACCCTGTTGCCAGTGTGCATGACTGGGGAATTGAGAATGTAGATGTCGCCTTAGTGCTGGCACAAGTATTTTGGAACTCTGTCCCAAGAGAGCCACTAACACCTTTAGGTGGTGAAAACCAGCCTTTCTGCTCAACTCAGTTTGTGTTGCTGCTTTTAGTTTTAGATTTTATTAGTTTTAAGAATTCTGTTACAATGACTAATTTTAAATGTGTTATGATACAGTTTTGTTGTCTTTCAGGAACTTTTCATAGCAGAAAAGCAGTATATAAATTGAAATATCAGTCAGTCAAATAAAAAGGGATTAAATTTGGCCCCTACTTTAGTCATAATGCCTCAGGGAGTGGGGTTGGAAGAGGTCATGTGAAGCTTCTTTTTGTGTACATATTTATGTGGGAAATTTGGAGCAGGGGAAATGGGAGGATCTTCAGAGCTGCACAGTTGGGCTGCATCCAGGCAGTCGTTTCCTGCACTGCTGGTTGGTGATTTAGTGCTGAACCGGACATATGAGGCTGCCCTGCAAAACGGAGGGACAATGTTATGTGGGGCTTCGTGGGGAAATGCCTTAAGAGAACTGGCTGGAGAGTGTTGGGTGGGTTGGATTTATTTTATTTTGCTTACTTCATTTATACTCTCTCCCCAATTGTGACCAAAGTAATTTACATCATTCTCTTCCCCTCCATTCTATCCTCACAACAACCCTGTGAGGTAGGTAAGGCTGAGTGTGAGACTGGCACAAAGTCGCCCAGCAAGCTGCCATGGCAGAGTGGGAGTTCAGACCTGAGTCTCCTAGATCCTAGTCTGACTCTGTAACCACTGCACAACAGTAGATCAGTGTACCTGAGAGAATGTTCCATCCAGGAAATACTTCGGTATCATGCCAGGAAGATTCTAATGTATTTCCTGCTGTTGTAGCTCAGATGCCTATTAAAGCAAGTCGCCACTGAATCCCCGTCAGACTAGGAGAGTCCAGCAAGTGTTTCTGGAGAGAAAGTGGGGTGGGTTTTTTTGCCACTGTCTGCATGCTTGCTGTGAGGCAGTGACTTCCTCCTCTGTACAAATAGACTTACAGACACCCGCTCTCTCTCTGCATGAGCTCTTGCCAAGGTTGAGAGAGCAGATAAGATGGGTCTGGCACTTCTTGTAGCTCATCCAAGTCGGTCAGGGGATCCACCAGCTGTCTGGGAGTCAGCCTGGCCTCCTTCCCAAGGAGGCTTGTAGGCATTCCCAGGTGCATCATGGGTGCTAGCGTTGCCACTTGTAGGAGTGGCTGCACATTCTGGTGGACCAGGGCATTACAGGTATTCCCTGACTGGATAACATTTAGAGACTGTAAGCCTTGGCAAGGGTTGCTGCTTTGTTTCTGTTTTGCTGCTTGGGAGGTACGAGCTGATGTAGCTAAGAAACCAGGGGCAGCTTAAGAAACATTGATGCCTGAGGCAGAGAATCCAAAGGGCTCTCCCCCTTAGCAGTACAAATAGTGAACAAAACAAATGGCAATGATTTGCTTTTTCGTAATGCTCCATATTCTGTTGTTAGAGGCGCCTCCTTCACCCTGTCTCATGGTACAGTCGGCTCTGCAAAGTCTGAAGTTCCTGGTTCAGATCTCACTGCTGCCGTTAATGCAGTAAGATGACTTTAGGTAACATACTTTTTCTGTTAGAGCCCATCTGCAATGTGGGGAAGGTAAACACCGGCCAACCTTAATTAGTTGTTGTAAGGACTGTTGAGGTGACGTATGCAGAGTGCTTTGAACGCCGACGTATTATGTGGATACAGAGTATTGGCTATTTGAGTACATCTAAGTTCATTCATGCAGTCCTTGCATGGCAGACTTGCCTGATAACTATATAAATCAATGGTGAGACCTCATTTGGAATACTGTGTGCAGTTCTGGGCACCACACCTTAAAAAGGATATTATAGCTTTGGAAAAAGTGCAGAAAAGGGCAACCCGAATGATAAAAGGGTTGGAACACTTTCCCTATGAGGACAGGTTAAAGCGCTTAGGGCTCTTTAGCTTGGAGAAACGACGACTGAGGGGTGACATGATCGAGGTTTATAAGATTATGCATGGGAAAGAGCAGGTAGAGAAAGAGGTACTTTTCTCCCTTTCTCACAATACAAGAACTCGTGGGCACTCCATGAAACTGCAGAGCGGTCGGGTTAGAACGGATAAAAGGAAGTACGTCTTCACCCAAAGAGTGATTAACACATGGAATTCACTGCCACAGGAGGGGGTGGGTGCTACAAGCATGGACGGCTTCAAAAGGGAATTGGATAAGCATATGGAGCAGAGGTCCATCGGTGGCTATTAGCCACAAGGTATAGCTAGGGGCTCTCGGGCAAGTGATGCTCTGTCTTCTTGGTGCTTGGGGGGGGTCAACAATGGGAGGGCTTCTAATGTCCTGGCCCCCCTGCTGGACCTCCTGATGGCACTGGTATTTCTGGCCACTGTGTGACCCAGAGTGTTGGACTGGATGGGCCTTTGGCCTGATCCAACATAGGCGTCTCTTATGTTCTTATGTTCTTAATCTATGGGCTGGGTGCCTGATTGGTGGAGAGTGGGGTGAGATGAAAGAAGTGGCCCAAGGGACAAAAGTGGTGTCGTCCCCAAGAGCAGGTTACAGAATGCCAACTATAGGCAAGAGTCTGGGGAAGCGAATGTAATGGGGCAGAACCAGGGTAAATGGGTTAGGCCTCTTGTGGAGGGAAATGTAGCATCCATTGACTCTTCCTGAGGAGGTGCTTTATGATCTGCTAAAAATATTTTAGTAGAACAAATGGACAAGATCTTGTTCTGCTTGCAAATAGATGTAATTTTTATAAAGCAAGAATATATAAGGGACTGCATACCTGCTATAGACTGAGCTGTATGTGAAGCAGTGGTCTTTCCCAGAGTATAAAAACTACATGGGGGACTTCTCTCTGGATGACAAGTTTTTGGCCACTTCTTTGTAGTACTGCCTTCATCCTATTTTTGTGTGTTTATTTATTTTAAAAAGTTTATTAGCTGCCTTTTTCCCTAGCTGGCAAGCTGAAGAGTTCCACCCCAAACAGCACATAATAAACATACTGTCAGGTTCCCAGTCAAAACACTCTCCACACACACTTTGGCAGTGAAATGCTTTATTAGAGATGTGAGATGCTATGGGTTCAAACTCTTTGTTAGGACTGATTTGCAAAGGTGGGAAAAAGCAACATATAGGTGAAACCCCAAAATTCCATTCACACCTATGTCAGCGTTCCTATAGCAACCCAGTCATATATATGGTCGCCCTATCTAACCTAGCTCCATATGCTTATCTAATTCCCTTTTGAAGCCATCCACGTTTGTAGCCGCCACCACTTCCTGTGGCAGTGAATTCCATGTGTTAATCACTCTTTGGGTGAAGAAGTACTTCCTTTTATCCATTCTAACCCGACCGCTCAGCAATTTCATTGAGTGCCCATGAGTTCTTGTATTGTGAGAAAGGGAGAAAAGTACCTCTTTCCTTACCTGCTCTATCCCATGCATAATCTTATAAACCTCAATCATGTCACCCCTCAGCCGTTGTTTCTCCAAGCTAAAGAGCCCTAAGAACAACTCTGATATTGTAGTCTGTAGTTGCCAAAAGTTATCCCACAGTGATCATGACTAAGAAATTACAAACAGGAGTCCGACAGGCAATTCCAGCACCATCTTAGTGTTTAAAGGTCTTCAGGACTCTTTGGGTTTTTTTGCCCACAATAGGGTGGGAGAGCTGCCCTCTGGAATATCAGGACCAATGTTTCCTAAAACAAGCCATTTCGATCAATGCCATTCTTTCTAAGAAAGGTAAAGTGTACCAAGAAGTAAAGGAATCTATGCTCACTTCACAAAAGCTTGGGCCATAATCAGTTTGTTCATCTTTAAAGTGCTCTTTGTTTGTTGTACTTATTATTGCAAGAAGTGAACACGGCTACCACTTTGGAACTCATTTGTTTCTATTTTTCTTCTCTCTTTTCAGACTGGTTCGGAGGGCAGCTCAGTTGATGGACCCAAAACAGGCCAAATGGAAGAAGGGCCATTTAACCATGTTGAAGAAAGAAGGCTGAATGAGGGCAATGGGCCTGGCCTGGCAAATGGTGGGAGGGAGCAAATGACTGGGCGAGGGGCTATGATCATGGAAACAGGTACGTGGCTTGGCCGCCCACACACTGAGCAAAAAGCCAACTGGGAGGGCATGCCAGCTGCCCTTAGCCAGGGTGATTCCACCAATGCCAACCTGGAGGATGCTCAGAACCTGGTGGCTTTCTCCGCAGCAGCTGAAGCTGCCATGTCTTCACATGGGATGGTGCCCTCGGCTTCCCCTTCTTTACTGAGCATGCAGCTGTATGAGAAGTTTAATGCTGAGATGAATCAAAGTGGGTCAGGGGATGGCTTGGCCATACCTCCTCCTAACAACTACCCTGACATTGAAGATCTGAATGCTCTGAAGGCCGCCCTCGCTCTGGCAAAACACGGTATGAAGCCGCCCAATTGCAACTGTGACGGACCCGAGTGCCCGGACTACCTGGAATGGCTGGAGAAGAAGATCAAATCAGCCACTGGCGAAGACCAGAGTTGTACCCCCCAGCTTCTCAACCAAGCTTCTGAACCTCCCTTAGACAATGGTGCTAATCAAAAGCAGGTGCCCGCCGCAGATGAGAAGACAACTCTGTGTCCCTCAGAGGCCCTCCCCTTTTCCCAAAGTGCACTGAGTATCGCTAAGGAGAAGAACATCAGTCTCCAGACAGCCATTGCCATTGAAGCCCTCACACAGCTATCATCAGTTCTTCCTGAGGCAGCCCAAGAGGCTCCGGCCCCTCCCCAGAGCCCTCTGCCAGCCATGGCTTTCACCTCCAAGGAACAGCTGGTCCAGCCTTCCGCCTTCCCGGCACACATCCCTAATTCGGTGCTATCTGTGTCCAGTGCCGAGCTGTACCAGAGCCAGGCCTCGAAAGCATATTCCAGCCACAGCCTGCTCCAGGCTCCCGCATCGTTGGCTTCCTCCTCCTGGCAGCAGGGTACAAAAGGTGCTCAGGAGACGGCTCCCTATTGCCTTGATCGCAACAACGGCCACTTGGACACTTCAGGTCTGTTCCCCAACTGCACCTCCACCCCGCAAAAAGCAGACTTCCCTGAGCAGTGGAGTGAAGAAAGCAAGCTCAAAAGCAACCTCTGGGGCCTGAACTCCAACCCACCCCCACCTTCCTTGGCAAGCGATCCCATGGCCGAACTGGAGCAGCTTTTAGGCACCGCCGGTAACTGCATCAAAACAGTGTTCAAACGACCTGACGTGATGCCTGGCAAAGTGAAAGCCATCAAAGCAAAGCAGGAGCAGCTAGCCCAGAATGAAGAAAACCCTAGTTACCACAAGACGGCTTGCTCCAGCCAGCAGTTATCCCAGCTTCTGCAAGAGACAAACTTCCATAAGAAGACTCAGAAGGTTCTACAGCAGCATCTCCACCACAAGCGTAGCCTCTTCCTTGACCAGAACCTGCCTCAGGGAGGCCCTCAGGAGCAGCTGCCGAGCTGGTGGGCTCCCAAGTCACAGGCCCAGCCTCAGAAATCAGCAGAGAAGTCCCCCAAGGAGAGGAAGAAGAAGATCCCGACGGAAAAAGGTGCTCAGGTCAAACCAGTCCGCAAACAGGTCCAGATCAAAAAATCCAAGCAGAAGGACTCTCTGCCCCTCTTCCTGCCGGTGAGACAGATCAGCTTGGAAGGGTTCCGCTCAGCTGCCACTCCAGAGCGCCTAAGCAAAGAGATGCAACCCGAGCAGCTGCTCTCTGCGACCCCAACCAAGCTCTTGTCTCCTGCTCCGTTTACATCCAGCCCCGGGGAACTGTCTCCATTGCAGAAGCTACTTGAAAACAGAAGTCCGGCTCCCAACTCTCAGGAAATGTGCCATCCCAGCCAGGAGGAGAGCCACTGCTACTACCCAGAGAATGCTGCATGCAGTTCTAACTCCCTCAGCTCTCCTGTGCCAGGCTTTGCCCCGTGCTCATCCACAGGTGCTTGCAGCAATGGGCACGAGGAAGCTTTCCACAGGCCAATGAACTCGACAGATCATCCTCTGTTTGCCCACAATCCCATCACGGTGGATGACAAGTTGGAGGAACTGATCAAACAGTTTGAGGCCGAATTTGGAGAAAATTTCAGCTTGCAGAATTCCGAGCTTACAGCTCCAGTTCTGCTTCCTGATGGGTCGTTGCCAGCCCAGCCTCCTTCCCCCCCACATCCCTTGTCTTCTCTGAGCCGCTCTCCAGAGCCTCCTGGGGGCTTGGATTCAGCTCTCCAACCTTCGGCTGCTAATGATTGCACACCGCCTTTGATGGGCACTCCCAATGCGGGTCACAAAATGTTCTCCCTCTTGCAGGGTGGTGAGCAGCCTTTTGAAAACCCTTTTGCTGCTCGGTCACCCAAGCAGATAAAAATTGAATCTTCTGGTGCTATTACGGTGGTATCCACCACGTGCTTTTACTCTGATGAAAACCAAAACACAGACACTGCTTCCATGGAAGGGACCCCAACCAAGGATAAAGTGCCACTCACACCTACTCTCAGTGGATTTTTGGAATCTCCCTTGAAGTACCTGGACACACCAACCAAAAGTTTGCTGGACACGCCGGCCAAGAGAGCGCAGGCTGAGTTCCCAACTTGTGACTGTGTGGGTGAGTCATGGCATGTGAGAACCTCTTGCACTGAAAGGGAAATTTCCTAAGAATGGGCTTCAAATGGTGTGTGTGTGTGTGTGTGTGTGTGTGTGCGCATGCTTTCTGCCTACATGAAATTCACCCCCTCCGGGAGACTGTATCAGGATTTTGATTTTGAGCTCTTTCGTCATTACTCTGCTGAAAGCAAGTGTGCAGGTTGTCATGGCCAGTCCTGTCTAAAGAATTCCTTCATGAAGGCTGTTGTAGTGTAATTCAGCTGGGAGCGCTTCTGGGAAAGGGAGTCTGTTTGCTGGGCTTACTTCCTTTAAACAGTTTCACATTCTCAAGAATGTTAAAATTGTCTTGTTAGACCAAGCTATCTAGTCCATCATTGAATACCCATCATTGAATACCCAGGTGCTTCTGGGAAGCTCGCAGCAAAGCTTCATTGTTGCTAACAAGACCCTGATAGAACCTCTCTGTTAGAGTTTCTCTGATCTCTACAGAAAGCTATTTAAGTCGGCGACTATCATAACATCATGTGATTGTGAGTTCTGTAAGTTGGATATGTTCTTTATGAAGGAGTACTTTTGTCTGCCTTGCAAGCAAAGGACTTGTTCCTTTGTGCTCTATCGGGGGTGCCGTGGCACCATTCCTGGTATGATGATCTGAAATATGAGTCCCGGTTTCAGGTGTGGGATTAGCCTGTTGCAAGAGGAGAGTGTATTTGCCTCTGTGAGTAGGGAAGGGAAGAGACGTGGCTCAGTGTTAGAGCAATCTGCTTTGCATGCAGAAGGTCCCAAGATCGGTCTCTGACATCTCCAGTTAAGTAAGGTAGCAGGGGATGTGAAAGACCTCTGCTTGAGCTGCTGCCGCCGCCAGTCTGAGTAGACAATACTGACCTTGAGAAGCATCTGACTCAGTAGTCAACAGCTTTTTCATGTGTTCATGAGTACAAGAGGAGAGGCTGCGTAAATCCAATCTCCTCCTCCTCCTCCTCCTCCTCCTCCTCCTCTTCTTCTTCTTCTTCTTCTTCGACAGGACAAATCAGGCATGTGGAGCCTCCAGTCATGGTGATTGCTGCTGCTTTTGTGTCTGTTAAACTGCACATGCTCTAAAAGGATAGGATTCTAGGTTTTAAAGTATGCAACACCTAAGGAATTTTGTTTAACATGTGCGTAGGAATAAATTTGACAGCTGTCACCTGGGTCTTGAGTCTTCTTGCAAGCTGACCCTGGTATGTGGATTGTGGTTGCACTGGGACTGTGCTTAAAATCCAAAACTGGTATGCAGCAGGTTTTCCAGCCCTTGGTCCTTGCTACCTGTTCTTGGAATATCTCTCTCTCTCTCTCTCTCTCTCTCTCTCTCTCTCTCTCTCTCTCTCTTATATGACTAGGTAAAGGCATAAGCCAAGACTTTCCAAGCTCAGCCAATCCAGAGGCTTCCTACTAGGTACTGATTGTAGGATTTGATATGCACCCCTGTTGCTTTCTTTGCCTACAAAGGTCTCAGAAACGTGAGTACACACAGTCCCAGATCACTTCTGAGCCTAGATCCACAACCTCAGGTCATGCAGACGACGAAGAAGAAGAGACTGGATTTATACCCCGCCCTTCACTTGGAGTCTCAGAGCGGCTTACAAACTCCTTTCCCTTCCCCTCCCCACAACAGACACCCTGTGAGGTGGGTGGGGCTGAGAGAGCTCTTTCAAGAACTGCTCTTTCAAGGACAGCTCTTGTCAGAATTATGGCTTGCCCAAGGGCATCTAGCAGCTGCAAGTGTAGGAGTGGGGAATCAAACCTGGTTCTCCCAGATTAGAGTCCGCACACTTAACCACTACACCAAACTGGCTCTGAGACTGCACTTCTCTTTTAAAGTGTGCCAGCGCCTTTGATGCAGGCCCATAGCCACTGGTGGCATTTGGGGGCAATGCCCCCCACGGATGAGCACTGCCCCCCTGGACTAGAATTTTTTAAAGTGCAATAAAATAAAATAAAATATGAGATGCACGTGGGGTTTCCAAAAAGACCCTGGGCACACACAGGGAAGCTTTAGTCACATTTTATTTTTTATGGGCCAAAAATAAATAGGTTTTTAAAAATGCAAAACAGTTAAAATAAAATTGCAAAAAATAAAATAAATTGCAAAATGCAAAAGAGAGTTGGAAATCCCCCCCCCGCCAGCTTACACAGAAAAGCAGCCCAGAATCGAGTCTCTCCAGTTGAAAAGACTAGAGGAGGACTAGAGGTCGCAGTGGAGCCAGAGCTGCTGCTTCTGCTGCTGCAAGAGGAGGAGGAGGCATGGCTGGGGCACCCCCCATATTTCCCCATGCCCCACCAACCACTAACGCCCCTGCTTTGATGACAGCATAGCTGGGAGAAGTTTTAGCAGCTGTATCTTTTGATTGCCGTTACTGTTGAGGGAGGGGCAGAAGAACTCACATCTGCTCAATTACTTTCCCTCCCAAGCAGCCTTCTGAAATGCACAGGCACTCTCTTTGGGTTTGGAGTTGGCAGCTCTGATTGCTCCCCTCTTCACCTACTGATTGGTCTTCTAGGTTTATGGTTGCAATGGGGGGTGAGGAACGCCATTCCCTTTACACTGTACAACAGACGCATGTTTCTGCTATGCAGGAAAAAATAGTAATGTATGAAGAAGGAAGGAAGGCAGCCAGTGAAGAGCTGAAACTAGGGGCTCTGGCCGGTACCTCTGCCATCAGCTGCCATAATAAAATCCGAGGGTACTGCATGTCCGTTATTGATCTTTGTCTGAATGGCTGCTGTCCAGCTGAGGCTTGCTTTCTTTTTCTCTTGACACTGTGCCACAGAGATGTGTCTGGAATAAAAATTAGAGTTGGGAGAGAGAAGAGGGAAATGCATTAGCCAAAGCCCAGTCCCTTCTGTTTGGGCAGAGAACGTGCCAAGTTAATTTAGAGCCGGCTGCTTCCAACCTGGAGAACACCACTGCCATTGTTTAAAGTTTCTATAGCACAAGCAATGTGGCAGGTGCTGTATGGGGCAAGTTCTCAGACTGCCCCCCCCCCAGCCCCCACGATTTGTGTTCCAGCAGCCACAAGTGGGAAGGGATTGGTCAGGTCTGACAGAAGTGGCTGTTGACTCCATCATGTACAGTTAATTCTGTAGGTATCCACAGTGCTGAGCCCACTAACTGGCCCAATGCAGACATAATGCTTATTTTTTGTTTGTTTTCCTTAATCATGGGTAAGTATTATATCTGAATGCCGGCACGTCATGGTTTCAGACGGGCTGCCAATCAAGGTATGGAGTGATAGTTTGAAGCGGATTGTAAAACAAGGTTTGTACTAATGATGGGTAAGTGTTATGTCTGCACTGTGCTAACCTTAGTTAAGACAGTTCCTCCATCTCTCCAGACTCTTGGCTTGCAAGGTGACCAGTAGGACCTTGCTAATGTCACTGTCTATATGTTAGGGTTACCAGCTGGCTGGTGGGGGGAAAATCCCTGCCCCAATTGCCCTGAAAGGCGATGGGATGATGTCACCCAGAAGTGACATCATCACGTCACTGACACTCTAGTTTTGGACAAAACTTTATGGTAAAATTGGCTACAAACCATAAAGTTTTGCCCAAAAACTTGACCGTCTCACACAAACACTGACGGCGGCGACATTATGACATCACTTCTGGGTAACGTCATTGTGCCACACGCACGAAACGCGCATGGCAGAAGATCCTGAAAAGTACCAAGGATCCCCCCCCCCAACTGGTTGCCAGGTAGGACCCGGCAACCCTAACATATACCCTCCAGAGACATGGTTTAATTCAGAAGTTTTTTCTTTGCCTTCTTGGTACCTTAACCAGAGCTATAAGTGCTAACTATGATGTTGGGTTTCACGATAATGGTAAGGATATGATAATGCAACAGGTGGGACCGGTTCAGCGGTATAATTTCTCTGACACAAGCCCCCAGTCTGAAGTGCTTAAGGGAAAGTTCTTCTTTTACTGGCACACTTCACTTATCTGCTGCACACATGGAGCATCTCATTACTTTCTGCAGAATAATCTCACAGTATTAGCACAGGAAAAAATTACATTAAATTAAAATACATTATTTTTAAATTTAATAGAAGTTAAACACCACTACAAACATATATAAGTAAAAACAGAGGTACAGCAAGTAAAGGTATTTCAAGAGGGTTTTTTTTTTGAAGTTGTTGCAATCCATAACTAATTGTTTTAGATCCTCAGTCTTGAGGGCCATAAGGGGAATTGAACATAGAGGGGGGGGGACATTTACCTAGAGTTACAGCAATCTAATGAAACAATGGTTCTTGGGCCTCCTTGTAAAAGGCAACGGTGCTACCTTCAAGAGAATTTCTTCTCTTTTCTTCGTAGTTAATGCCTTTCCTAGAAGAAAGACCAATCAGTTCTAAACTGTCAGTTGCCAATCGTCATGAAACCCAAACATTCTAAGCTCATTTGTTGTTGTTCAGTCGCACAGTTGAGTCCGACTCTTCGCGACCCCATGGACCACATCACGCCTGGCCCTCCAGTCTTCCATCGTGCTCCAGAGTTTGCTTAATTTCATGTTTGTTGCCGCGATAACACTGTCTAACCATCTCATCCTTTGCCGTCCCCTTCTTCTTTGACCTTCAATCTTTCCCAGCATCAGGGTCTTCTCCAGTGGGTGCTCCCTTCTCATTTGGTGGCCAAAGTATTTGAGCTTCAGCTTCAGTATCTGGCCTTCCAGGGAACAGTCAGGGTTGATTTCTTTTAGGATTGACTAAGCTCATAGCACTTCCCAGTTAGTACCGTCCATCTTGAAATTTGCAGTCTCTGCACATAAGCAGATTAAACATTTGAAAAGGAAACCCTGACTTCTTACAGATCTTTGCTTTAATTTGCTGATGATGAAATAGCCTACTATAAGTGGGCTGAACTTTTATGGCCTGAGATACATGTGAGGACATAATTTTGAAGAGTCGCCTTGCGTGTGTACATGTGAAAATGTTGTTCAGGAGTTGATGATTCACTGAACTT